CTCCCCATTTAGAGCAGTCCTTCTCAGTCCTGGTTGTGCGCTAGAATCACATGAAGTTCTTCAAACAATACTGATGCTTGCGCCCTCCCCACCCCCGATCCTGATTATTGGGTCTGGGGTGCAGCCTGAGCACGGGGATTTTTAAAACTCCTCCAGTGATTCTAACGTGCAGCCAGAGTTAAGGTTCCCTGACACAGAGATAAGCTTCACCCCAAAAGCCCTTTTCACACCTGCCTGCCTCTCCAAGGCCTGACAAACAGCGCCTGCCAGCAACTCCCAAAGCAGGAAAGGATTGCCAGATGGGAAACGGAGTTAGCAAGGCCCCAGCTGGCCCAAGCCCTGTCTCAAGATAGCACGGCATCACAGTCAGGACCCCAAACCCAAACCGCCTCAGGAGGAGAGTCTCCGTCTCACTCCACGTCCAGACAAGGAGGGAAACACGCTCTACGCCCTAAAGCCCTGCTGGCCAAAGTGGGGACACCTGGGCCCTTCAGAGCGAGATGCTCTACGCTGGTGTGAAACTGGGGGGGTTGGGGGGGTGGGGCACTAAAGACCATTTCAGAATCAGGTGTCAAAAAAAAAAAGCTGATGACTTGAAGCTTCTTAATGAGCACTGCTGGGAAAGGAGTAGAGATGAGAAGGAGTAGAGAAGGCCGACAATGCAGAGGTGGTTTCCGGTGTCTCCAAGCTCAGCGAATGGAAGGGGAGCTTTAGAGACGAGCCTGTGGGACACAAGCGGGGCTCTGGGCCAGAGGCGGTCCCAGCCCCAGCGCCTCCTGCTGACCCACCATGGCCCTTCACTCCCCTCGTGGGTAAAGCGAGGCAACAACCGGGCCTGTCCTCCAGGGCTGCTGAGGGAGGACAAGTTGATGTATGCAAGAGCCCTAGCGTCAGGACCAGGAAGTGCTCAATAAATGCAAAATACCAGATTTTCACAGAATGTTTCCTCTGGTCTAATCTTTACTTCCCTTTTGCCCTGATTTTTAAGTCTATATTTTTAAAAACTTTTTAAAACATAACAGTATTTGTTTCTGTCAGCGTCCCCAGCTTCTTTCTGGAATGAGCTAGGGCAGAAATACGGGCACTCACGTTAGCTACTAGCTGCTGAGTGTTACCTGTGTGCCCGGAGCCCCCGGTGGTGGCCGGGGCTTATCTTGGTGTAGGCAGTGAGGGGGCCACAAGGTCTGCAGGGCCCCCTCGGGCGAGGCTGCATGGGGAGCTAAGGACTTCATACTCGATCCTCAGAGCAACAGGCCTTGCTTGAAGACTGAAGCCAGGATGTGAGAAAATCAGGTCAACTCTGGAAAGCTCACGAGGGTTCCTGAGGAGAGACCTCTCAGAGGGCAGAGCCAGAGGCACACCAGGAGGCCGGCGCCAGGGGCTGCAACCCACGCAGCCACACAGGGTTCCAGGCTCTGAGGGGTCCCTGCGCAGCTCAACGCTCTGCTGTCGCTGCCCTGAAATTCTTAACACCTTTCCTATAAGGGGCTCTGCATTTTCGTTTCGCACTGGGCCCCACAAATTATGTGGCTGGCCCTGCCTTGCAGGGACATCTCACCTGCCCCTACCTCTACCCTAACAGGGGAGGCAGCGACAGTTACTGCTCCCTCTTTAAAAGGAAGAAACTAAGGCTCCAAGAAGGTAAGTCACCTGTCCCAGGATGCAGCTGGTCAGTGGCAGAGCAACAGCATATCCCAGGGCTCGGGGTTTCACCCTGGGGACCGCCATTGCGAGGGAGCTGTCCCCCCCACCCCCCGCCGCCCTAGGCTGGGAGGGACGAGCAGGTGTTCTCACCCTGCCAGCCGGAACTGGCTGCAGTTGGGGCCAACGCCCACGGATCTGGGCCACACGGCCAGTTCCACATCAGCAATGTGCAGCGATTAACCAAACAATGCAGCAGAAGCAAAGCAAACAGGAGTCATCTGTGGAGGCCCGGGACCCCTCCTCTGCACCCTGCATCCCGCCCCCCCCAACACCGAGCAAATTCAAGGACGGACGGGGAAAATCCCACCGACAGCTGAAAATCTGCCCCATAAAGGAAGAGCTGGCATGTCCTGTCACACCATCCCTTTGGCTTCCTTGACAGACTCTGAGGAGCATTTCTAAGGGGCAAGCTTGGGCCAGGCACCGTCTGGGCGCTGGAGTTACAACAGGGAACACAACAGATAATCATCTTCGCCCTAGGAGGCTCATGTTATAATGGGAGAGAGAAAAAGCTTAATAATTAAGGGAATTATGTAGTGTCAGAAAATACAGGTGCTTAGAGGAAATAACACAAATGATGAAAATAGCGGCCAAAACTGACTGGGTGCTTCCTCTGTGCCTAAACGCTTGACACGCACGGACTCATTTAATCCTCTTGGCAGCAGGGCCTGTTTTCATCCCCATTTCACAGACAGGAAAACTCACAGGAGGCAGGCTGCACAAGGTCCCAGAGGCAGTGAGAAAACAAGGAGTATTGATGAGAAGGGGTAGGAGGTTGCTATTTTTGCCCTCGCCTGATCTTGTTTTGTTTTAACGAGAGCAAAACAAGCAGGAAGCCTGGCCTCTCTGGCCTCGAACTGGAGGAGAGGGTCCAATCCACTCCCCCACGGTTCTTAAGAGACCTGACAGGGTGGTGGGCCCCTCCAAGCCCGCCTTTTTCTCCTAGAGCTGAGGTTTTGGAGCTAACAGCCCGAGTTCAAACCCCAGCTCACCAGCATGTGGCCCTGGGCAGGGCATGTGGCCCTGGGCAGACAGCTTTCTCCCAGCTCTTTGATTTAAAATGAAGATGAAAAGTCCCTCCCACAGGTGACAAGGGAACAGAGATCCAGTCTGCACTCTGCAGCGCCTGTACACTGGTGGCTGCCCCACGCACGCCCCACTGCTGGGACCCCACAACGGCCTCCTCCCTTCTCCCCTCCAGAGCTGAGAGGCAGGGCGACCTGACATCCGGCTCTGCACAGTGGGCACGAGGCAGAGGGCTGAGCACGGCGAAGACGTGATGAATGAGGACTGAAGAGAGGCAGGCGCGGGGCACGGAGGCACCGTCCCCAGAACCTGAGCCATGGAACTCACAGCCTTCAAAAGCACAGGGCACCGGGCACAGACGGCTCAGGCTCCAGGGTGCACGTGCGAAGTGAGGAACCTAGTCTCCCTGTTCCATGGTGAACGCGAGCCCTGGAGAAAACTGATGAAAACACCTCAGGAAGCTGGGGCCCCGATGGCACCTGGGCACTCCAAACCTCCAACTCAAGGGGCACCAGGTCGGGAGCTGTGCGGGACCCGGGATGCTGGCCGCCCTCCAATCTAGCTCCCGTGAAGTGCAGGGCAAAACCCAGCACGGGGGCCTCAACTTCCTCCTCTTAAAGTGGGAGACCAGGTGCAGAGTGAAAGGATTCAATGACCAAAAGCAGTGATTTCCCCAACAAGGTCAAAATCACCAGAACCCACTGCATCATGTGGGGATGGAGGAGGGGGGGACAGGAATTATCAGCTGGGTGAGGGGCGGCTTTGTGGAACCAGGAACCATGTGCCAACCACAGTGCCCATGGCCCAGGTGTTGGCATGAGGACCGCCCCCGAAGTTCCATCAAGGGGGCTTGTTCGAATCTGCCCTGGGTCTGCAAGCATTCGTCTGACACCCTGCGGCCGCCTCCAGGCTGCATGGAAGGGGTGGCAAACTCTGCTGGGGCATGTCAACCAGGGTAAGGGGTCTAAAGCCAACGTGCCCACAGGCCGTGGGGGTCACTGCTGGGCTTTCCTTCCTAGGAAAGCTTACTTCAGTCACACCTGTAAGGATGGAGGGAGCAGGCAGGAGGGAGAGCTGGCTCCTGAGAGCAGGCACAGAACCCCTGGTTTGTAGATGAGGAAACGGCCGGCCTCACAGAGCAGCCCCTCACCCATGCATGCCCACTCCTGCGCTCCACATCCTCCCAGGCTGTGGTCACGCTTGTCCACACTCAGCCCTCACAGGTGGGACTTTATTCTTAGCTCCAGGCTGCAGTGGTGAAACAGAGATACTGAGAGGGCTCCCACGCTTGCCCAGGTCACCCAGCTGAGCCACCAAAGGAGCTCTGAATCCAGAGCCTTTGCCCCTAATCTCTAGAATATACTGAACTGCTCAGTGGAGTGGGCAGACCAGGATTCTAATTCAGCTCCTCCCCAGCTATTCTCCTGGCCACACACCCACAGCAGGCTGCCTCGGGCCAGGGCATCCCCTGGGGCTCCACCCCTCAAGGGAAAGTCTGGTGGAGACCCCTTCCCAGGCAGCCTTCCAGAAGGCCCAGCCCAGCACAACGTGGACGAGGAGGCAGCTGGACCCCACAAAGGACCCATTGTGGTGCCTGCAGAAAGCCAAGGCCAGCCAGGGCTCGGCCCTCTGCAGGGCCCTGCCCATCACTCCCCTGGCCTCCTCCCCTCCACATGGCGCCCCCAGACCCCAGCAGGACCAGGACTGGCTGGGGGACGGGCCTCCGGTTCTGCCCAGCCTGTGGCAGCCTCAGCCTATGGAAACCTAAAACTCTCCAGCTGCTGCCAGCCCCCTGCGGATGGGGCTGCAGACCCCCGCGGAGCCCTGGGGGCTCAGTCAAGGTGCCCCGGACGCACCTGTCAGCCCAGCCGGGGTGGGGTCCACGGAACAAGGCTCTGTAGTGGGGAGAGGGGGATGGCATGTTTGCTCCCATCTGGGGGAGGGAGGAAATCTGTTACCCAGTATGGGGGAGGGGAGGTGGGTTTGCAAAAGGTCGGGGCAGACTGGGGAGGGGGCTGGGCGGAGGGAAGGGGTGGGACGGCCCCGGGGGGCGGGGGGCTTCCCCTCCCGCTGCACGAGGGGGCCCTGCACGGCTCCAGCTGTCTTTGTGCGTGGCAGGGGGCCCGCCCGGGGTCCCCCAGCGCCCGCCGAGGCATGCATCGGGCTGGGGGCCGCTTCTGGGAGCCCAGCGGGAGGGCCCCGCGGCGCGCCCGGCCACCGCCTGTGCCCGCGGAGGGGGCTCCCCGGTGGCCAGGGGTCGCCACACTCACCTCCTGAAGTCAAAGGGCATCGTGCCGCCGCCGCCGCCGGGGGAGGGAGCGCCGCAGGCCAGGCGGGCCGCGCACCGCGTGGGTCCCCGCCCGCTGCCAACGCCTCCTCGGCCGCCCCGCCCCGCCGGCCGCCCCCCGCCAGCGACACTGGCCGCCGCGGCCGCCGCCGGGAAGTGACGCTCCGCGCAGCCCATTGGGCGCCCGCCGCCCCGCCGCCCCTTCCGCCGCCCGGTTAAAGGGGCCCGCCGGCCGGGGGTAGGCTCCCTCGGGTCGAGGCTCTCGGAGGGGGGGCGCCCCGCAAAGACTCACGCGCTCGTTCCTTCCAAGCGCCCCTGTGTTTTCCTTCTCTTCCTCTGTGTGGCCTCGGGCAAATCCCTCTGCCTCTCTGAGCCTCCGAGTTTTGCATTTGTAAAACCGTTCCACTGAGTTGTGAAGATTACATGGAACGATCCAGATTTGGGCCGTGGACGGCGTCTAGCTCTGAGTAAGGGCCTAATACTGTGTGAGGAGGGACGAGGTCAGGCAGTCCTAGATCTATAAAGTGGACCCACCACTCCCCTGCTGTGCCTCTCTGGGAAAGACACTTGGCTTCTCTGAGCCCCCATCCCTTTCTAGCCTGCACAAAAAGGACGATGACAGTTACTCGAAGGGCTTTTTCCCGGGGGCCCAAAGAGAAAGTTGGAAGACCGGCTTAGTGCAGGGCCTGGCCCCCAGGAAGGGCTTGGTCACCCGCAGTTGTAGTTGCCCTGGTAGCTGTCTCTGCTTCCAGCTTCTATTTACTGTTCACTGGAACGGTGTTCGCTGAGCACTGGCCCTGATTTAAGTCTATTCAGGACAGTACAGGTTGTTTCAGAAGCAAACAGGCCTGCTGTGTGACCTTGCCCACAGCAGACCTCTCTGAGCCTCAGTTTCCTTCTGTGAAATTCACAGGTAATCAGCATTTCCCTCCAGGATTGCTGGACTAGATGAGATGGTAGTTGAGATGACACAAGTCTCTTGTAGAGGAAATTCATTCTGAACTCCTCCCCGCCTCCCCCCCCCCCCCCCACCGCCCTGCTGTGTTCTGTTGGTCCCACCTCCAAGGGTCTGGTGACACAGGGCTTGTAAAGTCCCAGGAGAGGAAGGTGGGGGTTCCTGTTCAAAGAGCAGGGCCAGCGGGCAGTCTCTTCCTCTATAAATAGAGGGGGATGGTGGTACCTGCTCCCCTGGGAGGATTCGGAATGCACAGCGCCTGCACCTGGTCTGGTGCGGGGTGGGGGGTGGGGGTGAACCACACGCTCCCTGAGCGCTCCCTGAGCGTACACCATGGCCTGACCAATTGCCTCTCCTTCCTTCTGACCTCTGGCATTCCTTTTTCTTTCTTTCTTTCATTGATTGATTCATTCATTTATTCAACAAAGGGGCTGGCACTTTTGGGAGAGAGAAGGAAATCTCAGTCTGAGCTGGAAACCTGGGGACAGCAGGAGGGGTAAAGGGGCCTTGAGCAGCCGCTGGGCCCAAAGGACTGTTTGTTGGGCCCGTGCAGGAGGGGAGTCATGCAGTGGTGGACAGTTGACCACAAGTCCTCCCTTCTCAAAATGTGGTCCACGGTCTGGTGGTCCGGTGGTGGTCCAAGGCCAGCTGCTTGGGCATCGTGGGGCGGATTCTCAGCCCTAGCCCAGACCTGTTGGATCAAGTGTGCACTTCACATAATCCCCAAGAGACTGGCTGGCACATTGAAGTCGGAGAGGCTCTGTGGTACAGGACCTTGCTGGGGCCTTGGTCGGGGTGGGGGGCAGCTTTTGCATTTGCTGCTCCTTTCGCCTGGAGCACTGTCCCCTCTCTGTCTCCCACCCTGCTGTTGGGCAGACAAGGTGCCTGGCTCCCCAGTAGGGTTCTCCTTTTCTTCCCAACTGTTAACTGTGTTAAAAGAGCCCAAACTCTGGAGCCAAAACTACATAGGTTCATGTTCCAGCTTATCCTCTTACTAACTTATTTTACCTCTTTACCTCAGTTTCCCCATCTGTAAAATGCGGGCAATAATAGTAACTTCCTCATAGATCTGTTGTAAGGATGAAATGTGTTGGTGTATGCCAAGGACTTAGGACAGTGCCTGACACAATAAATATGAGTTTGACTATTGTTATTTTTGCGTGATGATGGAGCTCCAGTTTTTGGCTGGGCATATGAGTGCTCAGAATGAAAGCTGCTGTTTCCCAGCTTCCCTTGCAGCTAGGTGTGGCCATGTGATAGGTTCTGGCCATTGAGCTGTAGGGAAGTATCTTGTGGAGCTTCAGGCATAGTGGGTGCGTATGACCCTCTGTGTCCCTTTCTCCATCTGGCTGCCCAGAACATGGATGCCAGCATCCTGGACCACGTGGTGAAGGCCACACACAGTAGGGCAACAAGGTAGGAGCCTGCATCACTGTCACTGTGTGGCACAGTACCTCTCCTCAAACACCTACCCAGACTTCTAAGCAAGAGAGAAATAAATGTCTAACTTGCTTAAACTACTGTTATTTTGGATTTTCGGTTACTTACACCTGAACCTAATGCTAATACACCTGCCCAGCCTAGTTAATTACTTGACGTGGCTGAAACACTACGTACAGAATAGGCCAGGTTCCACATTATATGCTTGCATGGTACCCTATAGTTTTCCCTGGGAGAACTCGTCAGAACCTGTCCCTATATTACTATGAATTGGCTACTGTCTACTCCCCGTCTTGACTGGAAGCTCTCCGGGGAGGATGGACGTCTGTTTGCCCATTGTCGTCTCCCAGCATCCAGCCCGGGCCTGCCGGTGGTGAGCGTGCAGTAAGTATGTGTCAAAGACAGGATGGAGGCTTCCCCGGAGGCAGGCCTTCCACAGAACAGAGAGGAGGGGGAGGGGACACGTCAGCAAGGATCCCTGTGGGGACGCCTGAGGTCTGTGAGCAGACCAGGCTGCCAGTCCCAGATGGTCCATCTGCCCGAATGACTGTGGGAGATGGAGCTGAGGGAATCAGATTGTGGGCTGCAGCAGGTGGGAAAGCGCTGGGTCTCTCTGACCAGGGAGGGAATTAATAAACGCTGCGTTTTAGGATTACCATTCCTGTGGGACTCTGGTAGCCAGCCTCCAGTGATCCTCATTCCCTGATAGTCCCGTGCCCTTGTCTAATGACCTCCCCCAATGAATAGGGCGACGTGGGTCACCAAGAGGACACTGCAGAAACGGCCTATGTGATTCCTGAGGCTAGCTTTAAAGGGCACTGGGGTTTCAGCTTTGGCTGTCCTGAATCACTTGTTCTGGAGGAAGCCAGATCTGTGTCCTAAGATTCTCAAGCACCCTCATAGAGGAGTCCGTGTGGCAAGGATCTGAGGCCTCCTGCCAACAGCCATGGGAGTGAGCCATCCTGGAGGTGGGTCCTCAGCCCCAGTCAAACCTTCACAGCCGCAGCCCCAGCCCACAACTTAACCACAGCCCCACGAGTGGCCCTCAGTCAGAGCCACCCAGCTAAAGCTGCTCCTGGTTCCTGACCCTCAGAAACTATGTGAGATAAATGTTTCTTTTAAGCCACTGAGTTGTGGGTAACCCGTTACACAGCAGTAGATGATTAATAGAACCTCTCTCTGCATTTGTTTTTCTACCAGCACCTTCTCTCTGCCTTGCTCACCTCACGCCCAACTGGTCTAGTGACGTGGAAAAAACTTCCGTCAGACAGCACCCTAGCTGGGTGACCTGGACACGTTGCTTAACTAGCTTGGGTCTGAGTATGAAATGAAGGATGGTAACACCTTCCCTGTGGCAAGTAGCCTCTGAAATCACCTCCCCAGCTAATCCGCCTCCTGGTATTCGTACCCTTGTGTAATCTCCTTCCTGAGAGTGTAGGCTGGGCTTATCAACTCACTTCTGATGAGCAGAATATGGCAGAAGAGATGACAGTCGCTCCTAAGACTAAGTTATAGAAAGACTGTGGCTTCTGTCTTGGATGCTCTGTGCCTCTAGGAGCGATGGCCCTGGGCAAGCCAGCTGCCAGGTTGTGAGGCAGCCCTGCCGAGAGGCCCGTGTGAGCGAGCCTGCAAGGGGATCTTCTGAGGCCTGACAACAGCCCTGGGAAGGCGTTTGGAAATGGATCCTTCAGCCTCAGTGGAGCCTTGAGATGCCTGCAGCCGGGCAGACGGCTTGACGGTGACCTCAAGGGAGAGCTTGACCCCGAGGCATCCAGCTGAGCTGCGTCTGGGTCCCGTGAGATAACAACCATTTTTGGTTTTAAGCCACTCAGTTTGGAGTGATTTGTTATGCAGCCACAGGTAACAAACACGTGGCCCTCAAAGCTTGCTGTGAAGATGAAGTGACAGGTACGGTGCTTAGCACGTAGTGCGTGCTGGTCAAATGCTTGCCAAGTGAACCAGTCAATGAACCAATGAATGTTCTGTCACGTGGGATGTTCTGTGGATCCAGATGCTCACCCGCCTCCACCCCCTCCTGCCAAACGCATAGCTGGGAGTTGTTTTAAGCAGGGGAATGGCTAAGTCAGATTTGTTTTTCTGTAGTGGGAACTGGTCTATGTTCTTGGGTGTTGCTGGTTCAGCTGTGGTCTGGATGAGCAGAGATTAAGAAACAATAATCCTTTGTCAGCTCAGAGAGGTCTTGAGCGTAGCTTGGGCCTCGTAGCAGGTAGGCGGCTGAACGAACAACTCTCCTTTCTTGCTCTCCTAAAGTCTCCTGACCAACTAGAAGATACTCATTCATTCATTCATTCATTCAATTATTCATTATAAGCTACTCACTGAACACCTGTATGACAGGCCCTCTGGATGTAGAAACGAACATGACAGATCCTTGTTTTCCTGAAGCAGGGAGGAGGGAAGCAGAAGTGTGGTGCCATTACACAAAACAGGGCCAGGGCACCAATTCCTGTGCAGATGCAGTTTTGTGTGGTAAGTGTAGTGGTAAGGGCAACACGAGAGGTTCTGGGAGGCCGGGCCCTACTTCCACCCCTGGAGATGAATTGGTCTGAACTCTTTCAGATGAAGGTGACAGAAGTCATCTCAAATCAACACACACTGTCTTGGGCAAAAAGAAAAGAAAAGAAAAGTTCAGAGGTAGAGGTGGATTTCAGGCACAGCTGAATCCAGGTGCTCCAATAATTGCATCAGAAA